GGGTTAACGAAATTAAATAAGATAACTTCATAAAAGTTTAAAACAAGTTCTGATAAGTGAAACTCGGGTGAATAAAATATACTCGCGGACATTAAAATGAGAGTCATAGCCAAAGTTGTTTAAGCTGTCTACTGATGTATTGGTTTCAGGTTTTCTGAGCTTATCATGTGGAGGAAATACAACTTATGTTGATTCTCTAAACATAACATGGATCTCTGATGATGAATACATCAACGTGGGTCGAACACTTACTACAAGTTATGTTGACAATACATCTTCAATGAATACTTCAGTCCGATATTTCCCTGATGCAAGAGCGCGAAATTGTTATAAGCTCCCTGTGCAAAATATATCATCTTCAGTTCTTGTTAGAGCTAAATTTGTGTATCAGAATTATGACAAGCTTAAGAGAGCTCCAGCATTTATTCTTTCCCTTGGTAGAGCTATGACTGCTGCAATAAACCTCTCGAAAGCTGATCCATGGACCGAGGAATTTATATGGCCGGTTTCTAAGGATTATGTACCATTTTGTCTGTATCACATACCAGATGGTGGGAACCCTGTGATATCTTCACTTGAACTTCGGCCACTTCCTCAAGGAGCTTACAATAGCGGTTTGGTTGGTCCTCGAAAGAACATTCTGAGGAAGTGTTATCGGATAAACTGTGGTTATACCAATGGGTCTATTAGGTAAATATTTTTCTTTCTTAAGTATGTCTGTAAATGCTTGTAGTCTGTAACTCTTATTTATCGATTTCTGACACTAACAGGTACCCCTTGGATCGATATGATCGTGTATGGGATGCTGATGTAGACTTTTCCCCCTCTCATCTATCAGTTCCTCTTTATACCAAAGTTGGCCTCAATGTTCCCTCAATGAGTGAGGTACCGCCTTTGGCTGTTTTACAAACTGCCAGGCTGCTGGAGAGAAGAAACTTCTTGTCTTATGATCTGCCACTCGATGAGGTTGGAAACTACTATATAGTACTCTACTTTGCAGGGATTGTACCAGTTTACTCCAGGTTTAACATATTGGCTAATGGAGAAATTATTCAGTCAAATTACACTGTGAATAGCAGAAATTCCAGTGTTTACTATTTCACTATGAAACAAGTTAAAGGACTGAACATTACGTTCCAAAATATCAGTTTTTACCCTCTAGTTAATTCTATTGAAGTGTTTGAGATTGTCGATATACCTCCAGAAACTTCTTCAACCACAGGTAATGCTGCTATTCTTTTACTTCATTTACGATGATTTTTTAAAACTCTGAATTATTTTGTTTGTTTGGATGATTCTGCAGTTTCAGCTCTTGAGGTTATTCAGCAATACACAGGTCTAGATTTGGGATGGGAGGAAGATCCATGCTTTCCAAAACCATGGAATCATATAACTTGTGACGGAAATCTTGTCACATCTATGTATGTGAAGCCACAGATTGAATTGAAGCATAAAATATAAATTCTCTGTTCTAACTCTGGCTAACAGTCGGCATTTTGTGCAGAGAACTTTCTGGTATAAATTTAAGGTCAATCAGCCCTGCCTTTGGTGACTTACTTGATCTTAGAGCACTGTAAGATCTTTGAAAACAAGATACAAACATACAGCATTTTAGCCTTATTTCTTATGTTAAATTCTGTTTGCTAATGTTCCAGGGATTTACATAATACATCACTAGCAGGAAAGATACAAAATTTGGAGGGTTTGCTACACATCGAGCAACTGTAAGATCTTGTGATTTTAATGGAATTTCTTAGTTTCTTATATGGAAAATAGTTATCTTATTGCAATAATTTTTACTTGCAGGAATCTGAGTTTCAACGATCTCACTTCCTTTGGGACAGACCTGGAAAGCCTGGTGAATCTTCAACTTCTGTGAGTCATGTGTTAGTCCTAAACAATAGAAACTTACCGCCTCAGAACTGTACTCATCTAAAACTTGTAAACTGGTTTCTTTCTGTAGGGACTTGAAAAACAACAGCTTACAGGGAACAGTTCCAGACAAGCTAGGAGCTTTAAAGAAACTCCGTCTACTGTAAGAGGAAGATCATATCTTGCATACATTGTTGTAATATTTTCCCTAGAATTCCATCTTTGTGTGTATACTCTCTAAACCATAAGAGGCCATCTTTCAGGAACCTGGAAAACAATAAATTAAGAGGGCCTCTTCCGCACTCTTTGAAGAAAGAGAATTTGGTTCTCAGGTAGGATTTAATGATGCCTTAGTTCTCTAGCTCATTAGCTGGTTGAAAACAAACCGTTAACTTTAATTGTAATTATGGCTCAGGATATCAGGAAATTTGTGCCTGTCTTTCTCTACATCAGGATGTAACAGTTCAGGAGAAGCTCCAATTGAGGCACCTCAATTTACTGTAATTCCTGAAAGGAAGCACAGAGGCCATTCACATATAGCCATCATACTTGGTACAATTATCGGAAGCATATGTTTGGTTATTTTGATTGGTTTGTTGGTATTCTTTTATGTGAGAAAGAAAACGCCAATGTTGAATAACATATAAGTAAGCACAACTCGATTCCGTATTTCAGTACTTCAGTTCTAATTCTATAATGATTTATGAATATCATACTACACTCTAACACTGGGTATTCTACTGTAATGCTCAGAGGAAGAAGCTGAAATCAGAAATTGGAATGCAGCTAGAGTTTTTTCTTACAAAGAAATTAAAAAGGCAACACATAACTTTAAGGATGTAATTGGGCAAGGGAGTTTTGGATCTGTTTACCCTGGGAAGCTTCCTGATGGAAAGATGGTAGCTGTGAAAGTTCGATCTGATAAGACTCAACTTGGGGCTGATTCCTTTGTTAACGAGGTTCAATTTCTAATTTGAACGATCTGAATTCTTGAGTTCGTAGTTGCTGCATATACAGTATTCTAACTACTAATAGACTAATAGTAGAGTTGCTTATAAATGAGGTTTTGGATCTGTTTTTAGGTTCATCTACTATCACAAATTAGACATCAGAACTTGGTATCTTTGGAAGGGTTCTGTCACGAGTCAAAGCAGCAGATACTGGTTTATGAGTATTTGCCTGGTGGATCACTAGCTGACAGCCTATATGGTATGGCAGCAACATCAAAAAGCTTAATAAGGGTATGCAAAATTTGCTTTTTCATTGGTCTTTGAATTACTAACTCACTTGGCCATGATCAGGTTCAAACAGTAAGAAATTCACCCTGAATTGGGTTCGGAGACTTAAAATTGGCATTGATGCTGCTAAAGGTATATCATAGTTTCCACTGTCATTTTGGAAGATGGAATAATACATTTCTTTTTATAATTTGAAAAAATTACACCAGTTCCCGGATCACAATATTTGTAGGTTTGCACTATCTGCACAATGGGAGCGAACCTAGAATAATACACAGGGATATCAAGTGCAGTAACATACTTCTCGATGAACAGATGAATGCTAAAGTTGCTGATTTTGGCCTGTCTAAGCAGTTATCAGAAGCAGAGGCAACCCATGTAACTACCACTGTAAAGGGAACTACTGGATATCTTGATCCTGAGTGAGTTTTGAACTTGTTCTTTCATAATATTAATTATTAATTATCGATTTTTAATATGTATTCACTAATTTGATCTTGTTTTCTCCATACAGATACTATTCTACCTTACAGTTAACTGAAAAAAGTGATATCTATAGTTTTGGAGTCGTTCTTTTGGAGCTCATTTGTGGTCGGGAACCATTTACCCGTGGATCTGGAAATCCAGACTCCTTCAACTTGGTTTTATGGGTACACTCTAACTACTGTATCTTATCTAGTTAGAAATTTTGTTGCTCCTTATACTAGACATCTATATGCTTGCTTTGTATCATAGTGAAGTTTCACTTCATATCCTTGCTGAGCTTCTAGTTAATATTCTGTCACTTGCATCAGCACCAACCCGACTCAAAATTAGCCTAAAACCAAAACAAAGTTCCTGCAAGTATTGAGGGATACAGGACAAGTATTTGAGGTGGTTTGAAGAGTTTTGAGTAGCTAAGGGTGAAACCTTATGGACCTAGTCAAGGCACCCAAAATGTTGAATGCTAGCCTGATTATCCTTGATTTCTTCAAGTTAATTATTATTTCAGAATGATTTAGCTATCAGCGCATAAGATATGAATGTTCTCCTATAATCAAAGAAGTAGGAAATTTATACAGCAATGCAACTCCAGGGATTCAGCAGAAGTGAACAAAATTAAAGATTCAACACTTTTCGACCCCTAACCAAGTAATACTAAACCTGAGCCCTCTGACTGACCTGATTGACAATGCATCTTATCTCTGACATCTTACTGCCTAATGAGAGTAATGACTGAATCTAATGCACCTTGAATGCTGTTATGTACAGGCCAAACCATTTTTGCAAGCAGGAATGTTTGAGGTAGTGGATGATAATCTAGCACGAGACTATGACATGGAGAGTATGAGGAAGGCAGCTACTATCGCTTCAAGGTGTGTTGAAAGAGATGCGTCGATCAGGCCTACTATGGGTGAGGTACTACAGGAGCTTAAAGAAGCCTACAGCCTTCAGCTTGCATATCTTGCTTCAAATGGACAAGCTGATTAAGAGCCTGAGTTTATGATGCAGCAGAAAACTCCATGCATATTACTACATCAGTTTTGAACTTATTTTTGAGAGAGAAATTTAATAATTTATGGGGATGGATTGAACAGATGCATAATTATGTCCGACTCAAGGATATTGTAAGATAGTACATAATGTAAAAGAGCTTAAGAAGTATACCTTATTAGGATACAAGAAGAGATACATTTGCGTATAGTAATAAGTTTAAATACCCAATTTTGATTATTTATTCAAAAAATTGTCAAGAATGAAGAGACTTGGTTTCAGTATGAACACTGATGACACTTGCAACTTAGTTCTACCTTTCAACAGCCAAATTCTTCTATTTGACACCATTTTTTGAAGATTTTGAGCTATGCTTGGGGGGGGGTGTGGGGGGCGGGGGCGGGGGTGTGTGTATGTGTATGTGTATGTGTATTTTTAAATCTCGAGGAAGGAGAAATTGTTTTCATGTCATTAATCAACTCAATTTCATTTCATAACCATTTGTTATTAATTAAAAAGGCATGAATTGCCTACTCTTAACATTAAAATGTGAAGTATTGAAAGTTTACAGATCTCATGATCTCTGAGATTTATAATCTCAGACTTCTATGATTCTATCTAGCCACCCATGCATGGATTTACAGTGAAGGATTTTTGCTATATCACTTGAATATAATTGCATTCGAATTTTCTTTGTTACTTATATATATAACACCATTTACAGCAGTCAATATATATATGAGGGATAGAATAAAATAATTAAGAGATTAATTTTAAACAAATGATTTGAATTACCATCAACAAGTATCTGCTCTCCAATCCACCCTACTTGTATGTAAGATGCATCATTCTGCTATTCTGTAGTCCAAAACTGCCAGGGAAGATTGTATGGGCTCAGCGTTTTCATGCCCACAAAAAGCAGTTGATCTTCAATTCTATAAGGCCTATGAAGAAGAGTATCTCTGTCGCAAATAGAAAAACAATGCCGTTGAAGCAGCAACAGCGTATGGAAATATAGTCCAGATACCCTGCATTATTCAAAAGAAAAACAGTAAAGAAAATATAAGTATAAATTATAGAGGAAGAGGAACAAGATTAAAGATTGATTTGTCTCAGAAAAACTAGAGGTTTTTGGGCATGACTTACCACCACAGAAGCAACAGTAGCTAAGGCAAAAAGAGGACGTTCTCTTAATAAGAACCCGATAGCCAGCTGCAGCACAGAAATTGATCAGAATATTAGCTTCTCAGTTCAGTTAGAATGCCATTTTATTCACTAATGCCTATTATGCAGGAAAATTAATTATGCTAAGAAAATTTTCACTTCTAATTTCTAAGTATGTGATTTACTTTGGAAATTTCCATTACCACTTTACCATTTAAAATTGCCTCTAAAATGGTAGTGGAATTTTTTAAGTTAAAAAGGATACTAGGGGGGTATTGGGTACAGAGCTGCATTACCATTATCACCATATATCACCCCCTACCAAATAGGTTGTAAATGTTCTCGCTTTTCGCAAGAAAAAAATAAATTCACTTGGTGTGAACTGTTTCTAAAACTCAATCAGCAAGGGATAGTCCTTGCATAATGGATAAATAACTTCCATGGAAAGTGTTTATATGTTTCATGCACAGAATTCATGGTTTAGTAGGCAGCAAATAACAAGTGAAGAGGAGCATTCAACAGCTGTGCTAACCTGAACAGGTAGGGTGATCAAACTACCACAGCAAACACCAACAAAGAAACACTCAGGAGAAATACCCTGCATTACATGAAAACCATAAACAGAAGTGTGGTTAAGCCCAGCAAGTTGCTGGCAGTATTAGGTTAATATTGTGGGATGAGCAAATGACAAAGCATAACATTATGTTTGGATAACAATAGTGAGGGGAAAGGGAGGTGAGTGGAGGGGAGAGAGAAGGAGACCTTCCATTTTCCTTACAAATCTCTCCAACAATGGAGGGATTTGTTTTATTAAAAGTGGAAGGAAAATGGATCCCTCCAATTCCCTCCTCTTCCCTCCTCTTCCCTCCTTACATTAGATATCCAAACAAGGGAGGATGCATCCCTCCATTTCTCTTCTCTTCCTTTCCCTCCATTTCTCTCTATCCAAATTCCAAACATAGCGTAAATCCATAAACTACAAGTAGTGGCCAAAAGGCTCCCAAAGGGAGATAAAGTACAGGTAACTAATAGAAACTAGAAACTGCAATAAAGCCTTGGGTTACAGTAACATAGTTCTGTTCTTTTATTTTGTGTATCTGGGTTGGGATTGGGGTTGGGGATGGCGGCATGTCACTGTTTGGTGAAACAGTGTTGAATTCAACATAATTCAATCAATGGCCGAAAGCAAGAAAAGGACTCCTTGATATAATCTAATCAATTGCACATCTAAGAAAGAAAATTCATCTTTGTGGAAGATTGCAAGCAGTAGTAAAGTATTAAAATCAAAACTTCAAGAGGATGTGACAGTTAGCAGCTACTTTTTGGTCACCAGAAAACAAATACAAAGGGTTTCTGAAGGAGTTATGAACTCTAACCATGGCTCCTGCAAGGAATGCTGTTGGATTTCTGACTCCAAGAGAAAATCGTTCAACTGTTTATTAGGGAAAATGTGATACATAAACAGTCAGTAAATCATTCCAAATGCTAGACAAGCTGCATATATAACATTAAGGGAAAGCGAATAATTATAATACATAAATGAGAAAGATTGCATTCCGGAAATTCAAATAAATTCTTATACAACAAAAAAGCTTTTGTGAGGGTCATTTGAACAACTATCAACGAAAAGCAGCATGCATCGAAGTAGATGTATACCCATTCATATAAACATACTATAGCTACAAGGACTCATCAAATCTTAAAGGTAGGTTAGAAGACACAACCTTGCCTGCAAAATTGTAAAGAGGCTCTTTTACCCAAGTGACTAGCATTCATAGAGAATTAAAGGAATTCTTGCACCCAAATATTTTATATAGCTAAAGCAAGCTGTATAATGATCTAACAATAATCAACAATATAAATTCAAAACCGTAGAATATAGGATTAGCTAGTCAATGCCTAAATAAAACTTGTAGAAAGACTATCTCTCTGCGTTATCCGACTTATCCCACATTACAAAGATCATATAACAGGGAAGTCAAAGGTCTCAAGGAAATAAGAGGAGCAAGAACATTTTTTTTAAGACAGAAAACTCAAACTACCCTCATCTATGCCAGTACATCAAGCAAGATCAAATTTGTGACTATATCCCCTTATTGACATTTATACATGATAATGGCCTACTCTAAAACAGAGGATATGATAATACAAATTACAAACCACAAAATAAGTTGGAGAAAATGGCTAGCAAGTTCAAAATATATACCAAAACCACTAAGATTTCCATATCTTTGAACAGCTTGTGTAATGCTCATTGCCTTCTCTTTGCTAACCCCTAACTGCATTTAATGAAAGAATATTCAAATACTGGAAAACAAATGCAAGGAAAGAGATTAAGAGACCTAGGAAAGTTTAGGCTTTAGGGCTCAATCCAGATGCATAGATTGGAATAAAAGTCATCTACATTTGAAATATGGATGAAGAGCAAACCTTTGAACACAAATCATCAGAAGCTCCAGATTGCTTGAATAGCTTCCCAATGTAAAATGGTATCATATCACTGATGCAAACTCCCCTAACGAAAAGAAGGTTTCGTGAGTTTAACTAAGAGCAGAAAAAGCATGGAAGGAAAAAAAATATTCCTGGGAAATTTGTTAATACATAAACAGCATTATATAATAATATAAATATCCCATTATCCCCTCAAAAAAAATATATAAATACATAAATAGCCACTAACAGTATACCCATAAAACTGTAGAGATTATATATGGAGAATTACTGGAGAATGATGCAGCAAAGGATTGCCATGTACCATCCAAACATAATTTCCGCGCCAATGTTATGCCAACCTATATATCACACATTCAGTCAACAAATGAAAACATGAAAATAGCTATGAGACACAAAACAAACATTGGAGTTTGTGAAACAGAAGTACCAGCAGAAAGGACAGACCCATATATTTAAAGCCTCTTCGCTGATGAAAAGTCCACATCCAGCAGCCATGAGCAACAAGAAGTAGATCCACCTGTTATTGTACTTCTATAAATTTTAGTTTTTACATATCATCTACATAGAAGAAAGCAACATGTGCAAATTGAAAAATATATTGCACCACTTTTTCTCTTTTGAACAAACAAGTCAAAGGCTTCACTTAACAGTTAATGTAAGGTTCAATGATTGATATGACACATACCCTGGAGCATACTTTGGAAGTAAAACTCTGTAACCAAATGCTTTAAAAGAGAATCCAACAGATGATGCGGCCAAGCTTGAAGACGTTGAAATATCAGACAGACGTTGGATTTCAATTCCAAGGGAAGTTCCCAAATTTTGCTGCTTGAAACCAATAGACAAGAAGGTGATAGTTGCAACCACTCCAAGGCCAATTGCCAATTTTGCCAAAAATGAACTGCCTTTCCCACTATCTTGCTGGCCTTTGAACACCTCCTCATTCAACTTTACACCTTCATTCAAGGAATTGCCAGTGGTTGCAGCATCATTAACCCCTGTATCTTCTGGCTGAAAACTTCTGACACTGTTGGTGTCGAGCAAGACAACATAATGTATGAATATGATATTTTGAGAAAATGATCAGACAAAACACTAAACACATTCCATATATCATGCAAAAGATGAGGAAACCGAATAAAAAAGTCTCTACAAAGCACACCTCCCCCCCCCCAGTGGCCCCCCTACCCTCTTCTCCTTTCCCAAAAAAAAAAGAGCTGGCCTAAGATATGCTCAGTCCAGCGGAAGCCCTCCTTACCATCCTCTCAAAATAATGCCAACTTGGTCAATGCTTCTCCACCACAAATAAGTACTCATAAGTTCATAAGTCATTATCCGTCCACAAATCACTTAGAGAACCTCACACCAGGGCAAAATTTAACCAACAATACAGATAAGTTTCAATGTCAAGTTACATTTATTCATCTTTAAAAAAAAAAAAAAAAAAAGGTTACATTTATTCAATCTGCAAAATGTATTAAGACAACTAAAGTATTTAATAAGTACCATATAAAACCTTCAAAAGAATTCTTCAGCAAATGCCCCAAACTCCCAAAGTGAGCCATTCTATTCAATGCCAATTGGTTAAGGATAGAATAGAGGTGTTCGGTTCAAAACAATAAGGAAGAAATATACTGATACATGATCATGTATGGAGCCTTGTGCCTTGGGTACATATCCACATCATTTTGCAAAATTAACCTTACATTCATAGTTACCAATATGTGAAGATGCATTAGCAACAAAAGAACGTTTATGTAGATACCAATTAACATATCTAATTGAAGGCTCAGGGGTAGTACCCATTACCTTAGGCTCGGAATCAAATCCCGTCTATATTAAATTATTAATGCCCTTTGTGGCACACTATACACCATAAAATAAAAGACCATTGATACCAAGCTATTAACAACACTCACCAATATCAACTGCCAATCAATAACATTAATTTCACAAATCTAAGGCTAGCAATTTTTCTCAAAATTTTCCATTCCTACAATTTGAGCTCAATAAACTATCAAAAACAATATCCATGATATATGACAATTACCCAACAATGATTATAACACAAAAGGCAACAAATAGAGAAAAGAAGGAAGAAATATACCGAAAACATGAAAATTTGGAGAAATGGGTAGCAGAAAGAAGCACCCTTTTGCGAGGAAAAGCACCATGAACTCCATTGAAGCAGCTTGAAAGCTTCAGAAAACGTGGTTTACAAACATGGGAAATAGCTAAATGAGGGGTAAGAGAAGGGTAGTGAGAGAAAACCGTCGCCATTGACGACATTCTTTCTCCTAAATGAGCTTCTCAGTTGTCAGTGAGAAGAATTCAGCAACACTCAAAAATTATTCAATTCAATAACGGGTTGTAAAAGACAATAATTGAATTACCATGTTAAAAGACAAGTATTTCTTTGGGAAATTTGTAACTTACTTTGGTGGGGGAGTGAGTATGAAGTCTTGGGGAATCAGCAGAAGTATATGCCTAGGAACTTAGGAAGTGTGTTTGTGTGAATTACTAGTATACCAAAGGAAAGGATTGTGTTGGGCCATGTGTGTGATACGAGTAATTTATTACGGAATACTTGATTAGGTAATGGAGTCATGCTCGGTTTTAAAAATAATATTATTGTGGACCAGGTCCACGCAAGTGTTGCTCAATTGCTCTTATCTTTCCACTATCATTCATATATTCAAGTAATAAAGTCGATTATACGGGTCAACTTTCACTTGTTTATGCTTTACAGATTTTAATTTTAGAATTCAAGAAAAAATTATTAAAATATAAGGAAATCTACTCTTGCCTACAGATGCATGAATTAGCCTGTCTATACAGCATTCAACATGCCAAAGCCAAACTTTTGTACATTTATTCAAGGGGCGCTTCACTCAACATGCTGCACCCCTACACCCGAAAATACGGGTCTCGATGGGGTTTATTTTATATGTTTTTATGCCCTTCCTTTGAGGTCACTACGACGTGGCAAACTCGTTCAATGTTTCATCAACTATAGTAATATACTCGTATTACTTTCATCCAGATTTACTTAATACACTGAGTATTCGTGTTAAAGGAAGATTATTCAAATAAGATCGGTAACTAGGCATGCACTGAAAGAAGGGGAAGTAACGAGACCATGCAGGCTACTTCAGAGCCAAAACTAAATTTTGCAAGTCCTGCAGCAGCATACACTTCTTCATCAAAGTCAGTACAGAGAATTCACATTCATGCACCGAACAAATATACTTAATACACCTAGTGCGAGTGCAGCATTACCAACAAGTTAGAAGCAGCCATATTTCATATTTTTGGGAAGATAGCATCTACATAAGCATGGTGCATTGGATCACCCAGCCAGAGTTTTGACAGTTGATGGTATGAAGCTGTGCGGCGATGAACTTCCTCCACAAACCAGATGGTTGCTTCTGCTTTAAGAGGATGAATAACGGTGTCCAATGGCTGGTACTCATCACCGGTTTCAAATCTTGCTTGATCCCACTGTTTTAGGAGAGTGTTTGTGAGGTAGTGCAGTGGCTGCCCATATAGCTCCTTGATTGATTTGGCTAATCCCATCCATGAATAACACAGTATGACTGATCCGCGTTGGCATGGAATGGGGACCTTTTTCATGTACTCCTGGTATATTTTTGCCCTTCTCACCATGACCCCTGCACAATGTGGACATCAGCAGCTGCAATCATAAATATACAACAGATCATACCAGACAGTAATATTAAATGTTAAATGTGTGTAGAGAAACATCTAAAAGACCGTGCTGGGAGAGATAAGAATTAAAGACTTCAGGCATTTTCAATAAATAAGTTTAATTAATCTCTCAAAAACTCAGAATATACATCTAGTAATAATTATTTCACTCTTGAATAATAATCACCTCTCTTTCTTACCAGTTCCCTCTCATTCGAAATCGGAAACTCTTCACCCCAAAAAAGACCTCCACTTTGCACCAAGTATGTTCTACCTCTGTGCATTGATATCAATATTTCAGCCCCTCTTCCTCTTAAAATGTTCATTGGGCCAAAACATAGCCTAAATTCTATAAAAATCTCGAAATCAACTTCAGAACTTTGGGAAGTAAGAAATAATGTTCCTAATCTAATTTCTACCACTTTCCGTCTTAGTGCAATTGACAACAGTTTTGGGCTCCACCCTCCCAACCTCATCTACTTCATGACCTAACCATCCCATGCTAAAAAATATTCAATGGCTTCACAGTCATAAGATCAGAGTTCAAGTAAAAGCTTAATGAAATAAAGAGAAATAGTCAACTTTGACAAGAGCAGGTGAGACTATGTTGATGATGATAAAAAGAACACAATTGTTCAAGAAAAGAGTAGGTTATCAAAAACATATAGTACTAGAATTAGGCAAGATTTATTAGAAGCGTGGTAGTGACTGGCAGATTTCAGTGATCTTTATATGCTGATACTGTGATACATGCATCAGTAGGGACACTACTGATGGTGCTTTTGCTGATGGCATGCAGCATTTTGTGGAGGGCCAGTAGATACTAGATAGCCAATAATTTTAGAAAAATTGCAAGGGACTAAGGGAGGTAGAGCTGCTTCAATGAAAGCTAAGACAACAGTAATAGTTGGCATATAAAATTATGTATTGTTCTGAGTTTATTTTTTCAGTGAATTTATATACCACTACTACTATATGTAAACTAAATCGTCACCCAGGGATCACTTGCCAAAACGACATAATACAAGAATCTATAAAGGCCATCAAGCAGAACTCAAACCTTAAGAGGAACCAAGAACTGTTCATCCACCAAAATATAAAAGCTCAAAAGAAAAAATGTACCTTCAGAATCTTTTTCATCGGCAGGTTGATAACTAAGAGCATCGATGTCGGGCTTTTGGTCAGAGGCACCATCATCTGCCTCCATATCTGCTGCTTCATCATCTGATGACACAAGATCTACCTGATCATTCCATGGAATTGGCCTTTTCGCCATTGATAGATATCCAAATTGGAACACGGGTATTGCTTAGTTCAATCTGGTTCCAACAATAGAGGCAGTCTTCAATCAGACACACTAGATATATGATAGAACTTTATAATAATGTTTTCAGAGATTATTTATCACTCATTGACAATGCTAGAATGCAATATAGGAGGTGATTTTTAGAGAGTTGATTGGGCTAAATTTTGCTCTTTCTCCACAGCCACCCATCAATTCATTCTTCTGGACGGAATTCAATCCAATTATGCCTGCACATGAATCCAAAATTGTTGCTGCACTTGAACTTTTCAAAAGAATTTTATCAATCCTACACTATCCCCAAACCACACTCTCTCAAACTGGCTCAATTTCTTCACACAAATTCAAATATTGTTGCCGCATCTGCACTTAAAATTTGCTCACTTTCAAGAATATGACATGAAGTAAAATATTTCAAATGTCCAACAGCTCTCCCTAATCATCAGTATCATCATTCCCAAACTTATTACATCAGTCTTATCACCCACTGAAAGATCAAAAACATATACCATCCCAAACTTGTACTACAACAAGAAGGCAACGTATAATATCAGCCATCTTACTGCCAACACAACTAAACCCCTCCCCCAAAAAAACCACTACCATTACACCAAAGCTCTTTCCCCCACCAAACAATTAAATGAATCAAGATTCCTAATATAACACATGTAGCTAGACTTGTCAGCTCAAATTGTCAATAATAAAAAAATTTATTCTCAAGTTGTTCATGGTTGACAGATTGGTGGTCAAATTTGACCACCAAATTAAAGTGAGGAATGGCAGTTGAACTAGTGCCAGAGCAACAGAGAAGATGGACACAATTGTTTTGGTGGAATAAGGCCTCTCGGTTTTTTATGGAGAGCAATATCCAATTTAATACACAAACCATTGAATATCTAAAATAGAATAGGGGAGAAATAGATCAGAAAACAGACAAAAGATATTAAGGGATGGCAAGGAAAAACCGAGAAAGAACTATCATTCATGTAACAGGCCAGTAGGCTAGACTTCCTTCTTTTTCTATTTTTGCTATAATACCATTGACATAATTTTTAAAAGTTAATAGCTGGCATTAGTACATTGTCTCTCTTATAAACCAATACTAGGCAAGGTTATTGATAATACAAGAACTCGATGAAACAAATGACATATTGAAACAATGAGCCATGGTAGCACCAATGAAGAACTAAAAACAAACAGCTAGAGTAGTTCCATTGGAACTCATCAGACCAAAAAGAAACTCAAGAACATTACAGCAAATAAAAATTCCTGTCAGAGAGTAAAACAATTCTACCTTAGACTCTCTCTTCAGCAATGCATCTTTGGCATTTGAAGAGCTAAAACTAGCAATATGTTACACATAATCACGTCACAATACGCAAAAAATGGAGAAGGCAGAAACTTGGAATGAGTTCTGCTGCCAAATTCTTCTCTAGTCACAAAGCTCAATTGCAACCATTATCAGAAACCAAAAGTCCTACTATGTGGGTGATACTTCTGCCTTCAAAATTAAACTTTCAATCTGCTGCTTCGCTTTCACCATGCCTTTCTGCTCAAGTTTTTCCATCAACAACTGGTACGTGTTATCCTTAGGAACCATTCCCTTCAAGATCATTAGTTCAACAAAGGAACAGGCATGCTCCAGTTTACCACTCTTACATAACCGATCCACAAGAAGGCAATATGTTGAGAAATCAACACTAATATTTTTCAAAAACATGTAATCTAGCAAGTACTTAAGGACCTTCATTCTCTTCTGCACACAGCACATTTTCAGCAATGGTATAAAAGTCTGAAGATTAGGTCTACAAGACTTCTCCTCCATTTCTTTGAGTAACTCAAAAGCATATTCTTCTTTTGAATGAGCACAAGCAGAAGATATCATGGTATTGTATGTCAAGACATCAGGGGCAACATTTTGCTTCGACATATCATAGAAGAGATCACATGCATCCATAAACCTTCCAGAATTGCTCAGGATATAAATCAAGGCACTATAGAAGCTTGAGTCAGGGACGCAACCATTTTGCATCATTTTTTGATAAATTTCCAAGGATTCGTTTATCTCTTTAGCTTTCCCCAAAGCAAGCATATAAATAGTATACGTCACGACATTAGGGGGGCAACCTTTTTGCTGCATCTCATTAAAAATTTCATCAACTTTCCGAAAATTTTTCTCTTGGCAATATGACTCAACAAAACAAGTATATGACGCTACATCAGGGAGACAGCCATGCTTCTCCATATCCTCCATTATTTTTCTTGCTTCATCATATTTTTTAGCCTTGCACCAACCATGGATCAAGATATTAAAAGTGCGACAATTCAGAGCAATTTCATCCTTAAACTCCAAAAATACTTCCTGAGCACGCTCAACATTCTTTTCTTTCACCAAGGTATCCATTATTATGTGCAATGCTGTAGTGTCTTTGATCATGCCATAGTTCTCAAACTTCTTAAATATCTCAACAGCATCATCATATTTCCCAGCTTTAGAAAGCCTTCTCATAACCCTAATCATTGTGACAATTGAAACTAATCCTCCCAATTTGTGCATCTCGTCGACCAACTCCCACATTAATTCAAATTTCCTTGACATCCCCAATATATCAACCATCATATTGTAGCACTTCTCCGTGGGCATAAAACCTGTTTGATCTTTGGCCCATTTGAAAAACCCAAATGCAAGGATCCAATCATTACGAAACCTCTGCAAAATCTTTTCCACCAAGCTCTCAGATAAATCAATTTGCCCACACTCAGCAAGAGCATAGCCAACAGCATTGGGCGACTCAGACTGTCCCTTTATAACTTCGGCCAACCTATTGACATCACTATCCACAATTTCACCTGCCATGTGTTTGACATACTTGCTATGGTCAACATGTAGCTTTTGGGTGTCAGCCCATTCAGCAATTATGGGTAAAACAAAATCATCCGATTCCACAACAGAAGGGTCTTCATGTTCACAAAACTTAATCCAATTAGGTAGCTCAGGTGACTCAACAGCATTAAGGGTATCAGCAGCATTAGGTGACTCCGGGAAAGTGCAAAAGGAAGCACAAACTGGACGCCTATAGCTGGTAATGTTTCGATAAACACCATACAAATGTACAGCTTCCCGAGGCCAAAAACACACAACACACTTGGCAATTTTGCGACACGAAAGCATTTTTAAAACGGGTTTTTTGTTATGAGCTGTGACAAACAAGAAAGAAAGAAAGAAAAGAGAAAGAGAAACCCAGGACCGGGATGCTTCACTGTGCAGCAATGACCCAGAAAACTTTGCGGCCGAAATTCCTAAATAATAGGTCATAATTAGCGAATCCATTTAATTTCCAAGTACTATATTTCAAACCCTAAATCATCAATCTAATAAAACTTCTCATAGCTTTTTTAAGCTTACTTCAAAATGTATCATTTCTCACCCAAAATTAACACAACAAAAACCATGCAAATTATAATACAACTTTAAAAAAAACATATAAATACATATTTATATTCTCAAGTCAAATGTAATTTCCAGAGTAGGAGGTAAAATAAGTCCAATTTCATAGTTCAATCCTAACACTAAAGGGTTCTGAATACATTAGCAACAAAATTTGATTCAATTGCTAAATCAAGTTCGTAAAATCACATAATTTTAGGGAGAAAAGGCATGTTTGATACAATTATCAAATTAGGCTCATAATATTCTTCTCTCGCTAGTAATTAGAACCAATAGTTTGAATATTCGAACCCTAATTTTACTATACTGAAAAGTAAATTAAACAAAATTAGATAAACGATTAACCCTAGGTTGTGAAATTGATATGATGATTACCAAAAAGAAACGACAGATTACCTCAGAAGCTGCTTCAATGGAGGATTGAAATATCAGAAGGCGCTTCAATGTGAGAGTGAGAGTGGGCTATGGGTTTTTTTCCCTTACAATAGCCATTTTAAAAAAATACTCGTAAATAAGGGTTGGATTCGATAATCATAATGGTTTAGGTACCCGATTTGATAATTTTTTATCGGGTATGAATTGTATAGTTATTGAATATCATTTTTAAATCAACAATTACACAATCCGATCCAATAATGATTTTTTTTTTCTTTTTTCCTACTTAGCATTTGTTCGCTGAACTAAAATGAATATTTTATGAGAGCTAATATTCTTAAACTATAGCTATTTAAAATACGTAACCCAAAAATGTATTGAGTTTTAAAGCTAATGTTCTTTTTTTCCAACTTTTGTCTTTTAAGAAATTACTTATAACAATTCAAGTAAACTTTTTTTAAAAAAGAAAAAAATACTCAATAATGATTGGGAAAAAAAAATTTATTATTTTTTTTGAAAAAAATTGGAAAATATATTTTAAATAGTATGAGTACTTTTATTTTATTTATCGAAAAAAAGAAAATCATTAATTTTGACATAAATATAATTAATCTATATTTGAATTAGGTTTCAAAAAAAAAAAATCTATATTTTGACATTATGAAACTTTAGTTTGAATTTACAAACTTTAGTTTCAAAAAGCAAGTGAGTAGACATAAATTAAGGGAAAATCGATGTAATTATTTAAGTTTCTCCTATCCTACTTAGTGCAACTGAAACCATTAGCAACAAAAGATAGTGGAGGTAATGCATATTTATCGCGAGGGAAATAGAATAGTTGCCAATCAAGAGTATCACAAAACAACAAAGTTGATGAGTTGGTTCAGTTCCCAGCCTTAGCCTTAATTAGGTCATTTTTAACATAAGGATAGACCAGAGTTGGTGTGGCATTCCCTTAGTTTGTTTCCCCTTCGTTTTATTTAATAATTTTATACATAGCAAAGTGAAAGAAAAGGAAATAGATAAAAGGTAAGTTTCTGATTTTCATTTAGCTTTCATTTCACGAGTCCTAGTCCCATTATCAATACGTAGATTTGCATGCCAAAATTAACATATATATGTAGTGCCTACCACACCCCTAAATAAAGGATTATAAAATTGGACACAAGCAAGAGATAAGTAGATAACTTCATATATAAGAAACAACTAACAAACAAAAACAAATTGCCTTTAAAACAACTTTGAGATCCTATGCATAATCCACCAAATACAAGTAGAACTAATATAGTGGATTTTCTGTGTCATCTTCCATATATATGTAAAACCATTATATCATATTTTAAGCTTTTAATTTCCCCTACTAATTAAGGGTATGTTCTCATTGACTGAATTCAGGTGAACTGAACTGAACTGAACTGAATATTTTATAAGAGAAGAAAATTAGGAGTTGAACTGAACTGAAATGAATATTTTATAAGAGAAGGAAATTAGGAGCTGAACTGAACAGAACTGAACTGAACTAAGTTGAACTAAACTGAACTGAATTTCAACGTAAGAAAACAGGCCCTAAGTTGGCCATGTAATTCACAAGGATGTATCCTTTATTTGATTGATTTATTAATTATTTTAATTTAATTAAGATTGATATATTATAAGCACATGTTAAGTAATTATGTTTCATTTTGGTTTTTTAAGCCAAGATATATTGTCAAGATATTATGGAATAATACTAGTAAGTATGTTGTGCTTGTAATTTTTTTTTAAACTCCGTAGGTTCTAATAAGAGTTTACAGTAATTATAGCTTTTAGAGATAATTTATTTATATTAATTCTTTACCTTTGTAGACATATTTGCCATCTTATTCCCCTATTAATTAATTAGTTACACTAATACACAAATATAATTCAAACTTAATTACTCTGAATCTCTGATCACCAAAACATTGTAACGGAACCAGTCTCATGTTTTAAATTTTGCATAAACACAAATTTTGCAACTACCTCATCATGCTACTTTAATGAACATTTGACAAATTAGTGATCTTTTAATTTTCTCTTTGAAACTACTTGTTCCTTAGATCTTGTTTCGGGTGAAAATAATGGGACCTTGCCGAAGGTCCGTTGATGTGGATGAAAACTGACTCGGTCCAAATGATGCTGGGCCGAGGGTTTCCTGCACAACAAACACACGTAAACTGGCCTCGGGGGTTGTGTCGAGGAAGGCCCCTCCGATGGCGAAGTCAAACAGTGTTTAGAGAGAGAAAGCTATGCAAGAGTATTAATTGCTTGAGGCTTTTTTTTGTGAATGAATGATAAATGATGTAATTGAAGGCTTTTATACCTTAGCATGCCAAGGAGAAGAGATGGGCCTGAGATCATATGGGCTGACCATGATGGCTTGAGCCGTTGACTTGAGATTGACTTGGCAGGATTGGAGGCTTGGGCCTTGACCTTGACTTTGATTGAATCATTTTATGACCGGGCCCAATTAGGCATAATTGGACCCAAACAGACCTCATATGATATTGTTAAGCTTTAATATTGTATTTAGCTAATTGGCCAATGTTTAAGACCTACACTCTTCTCCTAGGGTTGTATATAAACCTTGTGAATACAACGATACAAACCACGGAAGAGATACGAATATAAGATAAGGAATCTTTAATCTAAGAGATATTTATTGTACTTATTACAAGATACGAAGAACTAAAGAACAAAAATAAAGAGCTAAGGGATGAAAATCAAAAGTTAATAAATATCTATTTTTACATTAAATAACAATTTAGGAGTAATGCGATTCTTAAAGGACAACGTCCAAGTCATTATTATCTTAATTCCGTCTATTATACTTGATTAGGACATTTTTGTATAGTAAAGTTCAAATATCATCATATTTAACTATTTTAATTTATCTATCACTACTTGGTTTCATTATTTAAGATTTACTCAACCCACTACACGAGGTATTAAACTTCTTATCTCATGTATTAATTTTTTCTAATGCGCAAACGTAAATGAATTATTACAGGTGTTTACATTTTGAAATTTCCCGAACTATATCTAAAATATATCTCTTGTCGGGAAACCTTGGTAAAAAATTGACATGTGGTTCATGTCATTGAACACCTTCGGTAAGCCCTTTGATATCAAAGACAATAAGTCCATCATGTCTAATGAAATTTACGTCAAATCTACGTACCAACACAACCCAATGTCATCTTTACTTGAAATAACTCACGAACCAGAAGTCTACACGTGCATTATACCACTTAGCTTACACAGTTACACGCCTTACACACTGCAATCTACTTCCTCAAGTCCAACACTTCAACCCCATCTACCCTAACTAAATCTAGTTCAACCATCAATCTTTCTCCCCAGCTGAAAACCAGATTCATTATATTCCAACTCTCTCGACAATTCATTAGATAGTTACAAGAGATATGAATGCGACATATCCTGTAATTATGGAAACACACTTCACACTTGGCATATGTTATTAGGTACAAATAGTATATACTTGAAAAATCATAAAGCAATATAAAGAGATGTTTATAATGTTAAGTGTTTATAAAGTTAGTGGGGGCCTAATAAGCTGGCCATTAACACCACAAAATTGAACAAATGATGGGCACCAATCACCGTCATTATTTTTATAATTAATAACTCAAGTAATCACATGGCAACGTAACATGCCATTTTTCTTTGATTATTAATTAATTAATTACTTACTTTTACTACTACTACGTCCTTATATATTAGTCCAATAGTCCTACCAAAATTGGTTACTTGGGTTACGTGGTTGGGGTTAGGCCAGAAATAAAAAAGTGGGGTCATTAGTTACTTCTTTTTTAGGATGCCAACTTGGTTCTCCGGAGCTCCAACTATATCCGGATTCGATCCTAGTAGCACATTTGGCTTATGGTGGATGAGTCTTTTAAAGAGTTGATGATACGGTGAGGCTTGAACCCGGAACTTTCCTAAGGAACATCAAGTTGCTTACCACTTGAGCCAACTTTTGTGTTATTTATCTATTTATCCGCATCAATTTTGTGTTGTTTATCTATTTATTATTACAAAAATCTTGCTAACGAGCGTCTCAAACGTTAGATAATTAAGTAATGTATAAATTACAAAAATGTTAATTTTAAAAAGCATGTCAAAATTCGTGTTGGTTTATATAATTAATACTATTTTATTTTACCTTAAATTTTCTACTATCTTCATTAACTTTTAATTATAATAACTTTGAAATATTTTATATATCACAAATAATATCAAAAGTTGTAACTAAAGTAGTACTTGTAGTTGTCAACTTGTCATATCTTAACACTCCGAAATATTTGCTAGCTTTTGCCTTATTTAAGGAATATAAACAAAGAGAGTTGTTTTACCGTTGAACTAATTACAACACACGGAATGAAAAAGTCACGCTCTTTGTTCATTCCGCAGCAGCATGCATCATTGATCACGTATTCGTGTATTATGTATTCATCATTTCGATCACTCGATTTGCGAGGAGTATTTAATGACTTCCACAGCTAATTAAGGTACGTACGACATAGCATAATTATGAGATGAATTATTATTCATGTACATATACAGTGTAGCTACCTTATTAATTAGACTTGATCTAGTGTTTATTCTTTATTTATGTACCTCTATTTGTTACGTTATTGTTTTATTCTTTCTTTTTTTAATTAATTAATATGGAGTACTTTTCCCGTTTCATAGTACCATTAAACAAAATATAATGTAAGGGACGTACATGCATTAAGAAGATTAAACGAATGAGAGAAAAATAAAAATAGAGATTGTGTGGTGAACAGAAGTAGAGAAAACGTATCATCTAAAATGACATTAATGCCCTTCTTATAGATAAGTTAGGTAAGATCTACCATTTTTATTTCCTTTAAAATTCATTTTTTTTTTCTTCTTTATTTTTATGTAATGAGAGTCACAAAAGATTAAAAAAAATGTAAATTGAGTTTTTGATCAACTATTAATATATACTACATATATATTCCATGCCCATTAACTAACTATTTAATTGATCTAGTTAACTTTCATTTTTTTTTTGGTATAAAAAGTTACTGTGAGGAACTATCTCGTCAAAAAAAACAACTATGGAAAGTTTCTCCATTTCACAAGGATATTTCCTTAACATAAAAACCTTAACGTAATTCAAAAAATTACTCCCTCCGTCTATAGTATATTTTATTTCACTTATTTGGGTCAAACTTTGAAAACTTTGATCATAAATTCCAGTTAGTTCATAAGAGGTTATGTATTCAAGTAAAATATTGTTAAATTCGTCACATTTTATAGTTATAATATCAAGTGTTTAGAATTTTTACGCATATGAAAATAGAGATATAAATGTTTTAAGACATATTTTAAAGATGGTAAAAAGTCAAACGGGTACTATATTCAGGAAATAGCCTAAACTACACACAACCGTAGAATTAGGGCCTATTCTCATTGATTAAACTGAACTTATTAAAGCTAAACTGAAATTAAACAAAATTGAACTCAAAATAATCGTACGAATACATGCCCTTAGATTTGTGCGTACCCACACCCACATCCAAACCCACACCGTATTTCCGTATACAAAAAAAAAATCCGTAATCGTACAGCCGCCGTTAACCAATTTTTAATTGCCAAAAAAAAACCTACGAAACAAAACTCAGACTTGATTGACGGAGACTACTCCCTCTCCCCTCGACCGTGACGGAACCTTTCCGTTTCTGGCAATTTCTCTCTCCTCCTTCGACAACGACTCCCTCACTTTTCACTCTCTCTCACTCCTCCTTTTCTCCCTCTTTCCTCCCTTCCTTCCTCCTCCCCCCCCCCTTTTTCTCTCTCCTCTTTCCAGAACCAAACAACTTCCTCTAGCCGACACCAACACTACAGTAGAAAGAGAAAACTTAGAGAGAGAAAATCCTAGAAAGAGAAATTTTCAACTCAATTTTTTTTGGCGTTTTTTTACCAGCTGATTGATAGATTGATGATGATGAAAACGATGTTTCAGCTCCATTGAATGAATGTAGCATCATTCTCAGGTTTTTTTTTTACTCAGATTCCTTTTTTCATTGCAATTAATGCGTCGGTTTTTGTTATTATTGTGTAATTCAATTCAATTTTAATTCCATTTTTTCTCGATTTTTGTAAAAAAATTTTATTATTCAATCGCTTTCGTATCGGTTTTACCGTTCTTAAATTAGTCAGAGGAGAGAGAAAAAAAGTGTTACGAGTACACACTACTGCCGCGATCTTCTTCTTTTCGTTGTAATTTGTATTTTAATTTTTTTTTTCAGATTCCTTATTTTTAATTTTGTTTGATTTTTCCGTTTGTCTTGGTATGTAAACTATTTTTGAGCTTTAATTAATTTAATTTAATAAAAAAAATTAATTAAATAAGATCACTTGAGATTGAAGTAAAGCTAAAAATCTTGCTTAGATCTGCATAATCTGTATTGATATACTGACCTTTCTATATGTTTGAATGTAGAAATTTTACCAGCAGAAGAAAATTCAGCAATGCCAGGTATTGTCACATTTGATTGAATTTAAGATATTAAAATTTATCAAATTTGCATTGATTTTGATTAATTTTGATTGATTTATGATGAATTTAGAGGATATTCAATTGATTCGCGAGGAAGAGAGGGGGAGAAAGTCGGAGATTGAGGTTTCTGAGGATGAGCCAATCAGACGAACGAGGATCAAGAGTTTGAGGAAGAAAGCGGCGAGTGCTTCGACCAAATTGGCGCATGGCCTCAAGAAGAGAGGCAAACGAGTGGCGGATTGTAAATTCGCCTCGATCGCAATCGATGATTTTAGGGATGAGAAGGAGGAAGAGGCTGTTGATGCGTTTCGGCTGGTTTTGGTGGAGAAAAATATGCTTCCACATCATTTGGATGATTATCACACCATGCTTAGGTGAGGAACAAATGTGTTTTTTATACTATGCTATTTATATATCTAAATTTAGTTTTTGGTATATTTTATTTATGTGAATAGTATTGGATTGTGATATTATTATTATTTGTATGATTAGGCTTTGGAATGATTGAAATTTCACATAAAATACATAATATTTTCATAGTTTGAATTGGTACAAAGGTGATAAAATGGAATAGATGACGGCTAGTCAGCAACGATGAAATTTAAAAAAAATTATGAATTCAATACTTTGAATCGGTACAGTGATTAAAACGCGGATTAGATGATTGATAGTCAGCTGATGCCTGTCAAAATTTGGAGTAATCTCGGAGCCTCAGAGCTTAAAATTAAATTCATTATCGTGATTTAATCTAGATTGTCCATTTAGATTTCTGTTTCAGAGAGTTTGACTGCACTTGCAGTATACCATGAAAAAATTAACACCTTGTGGGATTCAAGATTACGCTCCCTTTTAGATTGGCATATTATTAACAAAATCTGATATGTGTGTTGTTGGTTCATGTTGTGTGGGAACAAACTAGCAGCAATTTCTATTGTCCGATAAAATGTGGTTAAGGGTTAATGATTAGAGTACAGTCTGGTTAGAAAATATTCAGAATAATTACTGGATTACTCATGATTGTACTTGAATCATTAAGAGAGATTTTTGTTATTCATTGAGAAACGTTGACATCATATACTATTCCACTTTCATAGGCGAGCTTGCAACGTGATATGTGCATCTTGCCCTGTCATTGCTTATTGTGAAAAATTACTGGAGAAGTCTCCGATTTTATTATGCTGGAAAGATTCGTGGTATATAGAATAGAAAATCTGAACATTAATAACCTCTTCCAGCAATTTTCTCTTGGAGCTCGAATGGATAATTAAATGACATGACTATTGTTACCCTAAAAAAAAGGCTAGAATGATTATCTCTATGCCCTTTGACTATTTATCCGAGCATTGTTGGAAACATTTTGTTTCCCTCCCTTAGCTGATAAGTAACCAAGACATACTCCCTCCAACTCTAATACATATGGACACTATTCTATGTAAGGTTGTTTCCATAGCAGGGCAATCCTTATCACCCTAAATGATACCCTTCATCAAAAGTCCAAGGAAATACCCTAATATTGATATTGAAGGAATTGTCACCTATGTGTAAAATATAAGCTAGAGCCAAAACATCCTGTCTAAAAAGCAACTTGAATAGAGGAGACTAGGAGTCCTAGACGTGGTTTTGAGGGATTTCTTGCAAATTCCAATACTGTTACTTTCAGCTGGATGCTTAGAATCATGGCCCTTTAGGCTCTCGATACATGGTCAAGCATGTTAGTTTTTGCTTCGACTAATGGTGTAGGATTGATAAGGAGACCCTTCCAAAGCGAAGATACATGATACTATTTGCCAGTTGATTATGATTTCAAATTTGACAACTCTTGCTGTACAGGGGTGACTTTTAGGTTCATCAAAAATAGTCCGAATAGTTCAGTGATTTCCAATTGCTTAGATTTTGCTTCATTGTATGAGGTTACTTTTGTAGTGTATTCTCGAGGTTGAAAACAATGTTGCTTAGAAGACTAGAGCTTAGAAAATCTAAATGGAGGAATATTGGTACGGAATCATTTATCCTCTTAGTATTGGATTGTTTAGGCAAGTCATGAATCTTTTCATTTATCTACCATATGAACAAAACATGAGTCAAGTTATTCATAAATTATTACGATTTGTAAGCTGTTAAGGTTACTGAATTCTGCTCTCCATCAAGAATTGGTTAAGTGGTTATCCTGGTATCAATCATTCCAAACAATCAGCTATGAGATTTATTGTATCACGAATATGACTAATTTAGGACAATGGAGTGAATTTAAACATATGTTCATGGTTATGATCCTTCTGACGATTCAAGCAATTTAAAATTGCCTAGAGAGAGCTTTAAATTTCTTGAATGGTGGATAAGCAATGTCAGAAAAACCTGGAAGCATTTTTGCTGCTTCTTTCCACATTGGTGTGGTAAATTTTCTATAAAATTAGCTCTAAGAGTAGAAATGTTAATTATGAGGCACGTGTTTTAGATGATTGGAAATGTTATTTATGTGACATAGGAAATGATATCAGCATTCCGATTTTAATGATCTAATTGTTGTAAATGCTCCACATGGTTGGTATTAATATATTTTCCCCACATGGCTCATGTAAATGGAGGCATTTTTCCCCCTAGGTAATTAAAAAGAGATTTATCTCCTTGGTAGTTCATATCTATGATGTTTCCCCAACATGGCGTATGTAAATGGAATTTTATTTTGTATCACCCTAGTTAAAATAAAAGAGATACACATCTCCTTGATAACACTTGTAATCACGATGCTTTTGCCAAACTTTGGTACTATTTCTAAAACACAACCATGTTGGCTTAGTTGAGTGTCTGGTTAGCTTCACGGAGCGTTAACTGTTGGCAATATAAAGCTAACTTGTAGGCTACTTGTACCCTTCTGGACCTTGGACTGTATTTTACAGTAAATTAGTTATGATCCAGTTAATGTATTAGTCTTTAATTGACATGTGATGTATCTCTGTTCACTGTAACTATTTTTGAACAGAAATGTGTCATTTCGTGCAGATTTTTGAAAGCAAGGAAGTTTGACCTTGATAAAACTATCCATATGTGGGAAGAAATGATCAAATGGAGGAAAGAAAATGGAGTAGATACTATTGTACAGGTAATAAAGTTTTCAAAATATATCGTATCAAGAATAAATTTTACAGTAAAGAAAAAGGGATTTCAATTAGTAAGATCTTTTTAGACAAACGTTGCCCTCCAATTGTAACTCCATATATAAAAGCTGCATTTAGTTGAAGTTTCTTTTCAAGAAATAAGTGTATTTGCTTGAGAACTTAGTGTTGATATTCTATATGGTTATGTTACTACTTTTGTCTTCCTAAGTCGTACTCACTTTTCATTTGCATCCATTTTTTATAATCTACTCACTTTTACTTTATTCTATTCATGTTGCACCTTTTACTCGTGATTGGTATCTTCAACCCTACTCTATGGAACCAACTGTATTTAATAATTCTCTTATTATATATTTTTCTCCTTTTAAAAGCTAAAGCCACCCCTGTCTAAGTACAACTTATCAGCAGAATCTCGCAGAAAAATCTGGCTGTTGATAGGACACCACAATTTTTTTTTGCGCCACCCTTGTCCCTTTGTTTGGGAGAAATTCTGCCATTGTTTGAGTCATCAATGAGACAATGACTCAAATAACACTTGCTGCCTTGCTGGTATTAAGACAATGACTCATATACTTATTTCCCAATCAATATTTTCTCTCCTTCTTGTCAGTTTCTCTTCCCCCTCTCATTCAATAGGATAAATACTTTCCTTTTCAATTTTGATCAGTTAAAATTAGTTATATATAATCAATATTCAGCTTCAATCAGTAAGATTCAAATTTAATGTAAATAACACAAAAAGACAATTAAATTAGTTAAAATCTGTTTTTGATTCTAAAAAATGATTTCACTTCACTATAGCTTTTTCTTTCATCTACATCATCAACCTCTATATCAATGTTTGAAGCTGTTTTTATTGCTCTCGGGTGAGAAGTGATTGATGGTAGGTGATCCTTAATTTGATATGCAGCTGCCTGGAAGTAGAAATGCTTAGACATTTTAATTTGGTCCATTGTCACCCAAGTCAAAGAATGGTGAATAATTGACTTCATTGAAAATAGGCTTGTATTATTGTTATTCTTTTTGGATGCGCAACATTTCTTCTCCATGATGTGAAATTCACAAAGTATCTTTTAACTCTTTTCTGTAGGATTTCTACTATGAAGAATTCGATGACGTACAGCGACACTATCCCCATGGTTATCATGGAGTAGATAAGGATGGACGACCTGTTTATATTGAAAGACTTGGCAAGATTGAAACTGCCAAGCTTATGAATGTGACCACCATAGAGCGTTTTTTAAAGTATCATATACAAGGATTTGAAAAGGCTTTTGCAGAGAAATTTCCAGCTTGTTCCATCGCTGCCAAGAGACATATTGATTCTACAACTACAATATTGGATGTTCATGGGGTGGTATGTATGATTTGTCTTAAGATTCTGACAGAAAATTTGAGCAAGCAACATCTCCTCTTCTAAGTTCTTATTAGTTCATGTTTTTTGTAGAACTGGATGAGCTTTGGTAAAGTTGCTCTTGATCTTATTAAGAATATGCAGAAAATTGATGGTGACAATTACCCTGAGGTAGGTTGCTCTATTTATTTGATAATTATTTTGTTCCAAGTACAAAGTTTTGTTTGCATGGTAGTGGATATATGCTCACCTGTTCTCCCGTTTCCTCCAAATTTCTTCAGACATTGCATCAGATGTTTATAATAAATGCTGGTGCTGGATTCAAGATGATATGGTCTACTGTGAAAAGCTTTCTTGATCCGAGGACTACCTCAAAGATTCATGTATGATCTACTCTGAATTTATACTAATTTTAGAAGTTTTGAAGATAAACGTCTTAACCTGACATTTGGCTTACTTTGGCAGGTTCTGGGCAGCAAATTCCATAGCAAGTTGATGGAATTTGTAGATCTCAGGTGGGTTTTTTTCCTTTCTATTGCTGCATTATTGTTGTTGTTCAAATTAAAGCAAATCACAATCTCTGGTTTCAGAAGCTGATTGCACCATCTTTCTGCAGCCAATTGCCTGAGTTTGTTGGTGGGACTTGCTCTTGCCCTGGTGGATGCCTTAAATATCAGAAGGGACCCTGGAATGATCCAGAAATAATGAAAGTAAGATTATGGTTGTTTATGATCACTGGCATTCTTCATCTCTTTATTTGGACTTAAAAGTGTAAAGCAGAATATCACATAAATGTTTTTACTTGCAGCTGGTGCATTCACAAGAAATTATGTATATGAAAAGAACTACAAGCTCTTCTGATTGCGAAGATCTTAAAAGCAAATTATTTGCTAATAAGGTATTGTGTGTAATAATAATTAATGGCACTACAGTGTTTTATTTCACGATTTTCTGGCAAATTAATGCACGTTGCTTGCACAGGCTACTAGGAATGACATGGTTTTTGCCGACGTGGTTCCTGATTTAGACGGCCAAATTCCTAACATTACAGTGTCAGCGGATAATAATGTAAGTTTCTTAAGTCAAGGCCAATCATCCCTCTTCCCGTCTACTTTCCTAAGGGGTTTGGGGGAAGAGGGAAACCAAAAGAAGTTCCAAAATAATATGATTAGTCTGTCAATGTATCTAGCTTTGGTTGTTTTAATTATGGGGCTAGTTTAAAATAGGTGTTAATTATGAACTAAGAACAATGGGGAGCTATGTGAAAGTGAGCAGAACTGTCGATTGTCATTCTGAAAACGTCATAATTTGATCCTGGAGTTGATGTGATTCTAGAAAAAAAATTTCTAGATTTGACATGATTGTTAAGAAATTTTTTCTTTGAGTGATACATGGCACACAATATGCTAGTTTACATAGTGGGGTTTAATTATTTATTTATATTCCTTTATATTTTGTTTTGTGTTGGAGTAGGGAGTTTGGGGTCCTGAAAATGCAAGACTAATTCTAATATGATTTGTTTTTATCATAAATTGTTTGATATGGTGCTGACCTGGTAACCAATGAACATATCCTCCTGAGTGGCTGAGACCATAAGATATGCTGAAATGCCTGGCCAGAAGCATTCAGAGCTTTGAAACTAGTTGCTATGAAAACTTTCATTTGATGGAAAAGTGTATATTTATAGGCTAATTTGCTAAATGTATACTCCAAATGTGAAAAGCCAGATGTCTTCTCACATCAATATTGCCATTTGTATAATTGCAATTGCTGATATCAATCTATTGAATAAAATTTTGTTTTAGCACAATTTGAAGGTTATGGACACATAATTGAAATCACGTATTCTTTTGTCTCTCATCTTTATGCTGTCCCAGGTAATATTGGGCGAAACTTCGTGCATTGGCAACCCAGTGGAAATAGCGAGAATTAATGCTAAAGCTGAAGAGGCTAATTTAAAAAGTATGTGATCCTTTGTTATAATTTACTCTCATTTATTTTCATGTCATTGTCTTGTTGGTATCATTTTCAAATTGGTTAGTGGGACAAGGAAGGATATGGTTTGTTTTATAAATGAACAACTCTAGCCCTGAAGTGAACCTGATATTTTTATCAACTGCAAAATTCCCAATTAAGCTTAACTGATTATCTCCTCAACAAATTCTGTAAATATCTTTTATATTGTGACATAAGGGATAATCTTTCCTGGGAGGATGTCTTATTTAGTATATAATTGATTCTTTATTTTATTGACTAGACATTAAAAGCCACCTAATTTGGAAGTTGTGAACAGATCATGCATTTGGAAAGAGCGAAGAAGCGAGGTCTCTGAAAGTCATTCCTGATGTGAGAGGTTTACCAGTTGGCTTTGTATTCAAATTTTTTGCATGTCTGCAAATTTTATTTCGCTCCTTGGGAAAACTTTGGGCGCTTAGACCAAAAGATAATCAGCCAAAGGTGCAGTGCGAGCCTATTGATTTAGCTGCTAGCCAGTCAGAGCCAGAGTCTGAGCAAGAGCCAGGTTTCGAAAGTCCAGCTGTTGTTCAGAAGATTGAGGACTCTCTGCTTAATCCTTGCTGGAAAAGGCTTCAGCATTTAGAGCAGATGGTGACAGACCTCGTAAATAAACCTACAAGAATCCCTCCAGATAAAGAGGCAACACTTGTTGAGTCATTAAAAAGAATCAAAGCTATAGAGTATGACTTGCAGAAGACGAAGAAGGTAAAAGTATTATTATATCTACGTAATGAGATGTGTTTTCCAATTTATTAGCATGTTTTTAGGTTCTTACTTTGATTCTATCGGGAACAGGCCCTGTTTGCAACAGCATCAAAGCAAGTAGAGCTTGCTGAGTCACTGGAAAATCTAAGGGAAAGCAGCATGCATGTAAGCAAGCTCTCACTTACCGAAATACTATTATATATCTGGTTGTGAAAAAAAAAACCTGTGAGCTTCTTAATCAAATGGTGATCCATGTGTTGTGCAATTATAATATTTTCGATCTAAGATAAATTATCGCTTGAATCCCATTTGCTGAGATTACTTTATTTGTTACAGAGACCAACATGTTGGAGGAGAAGTTGGAAACCTGCCCCTTCAGAAAGTCGATAGGATGGATCAAAATAGTATTATGTGCGTGTTTTTACTTCCTTCAACATTGATGTTGCTGACTAATGACTACAAATTCTTACAGCTGGTAACTTGCTTGTTTCCTTTGCCTCTATTTGCCCTCTTTCTTTTTTTCTTATCTGATCTTTGCATGTTATGACTACCCTTGCAGGTATTTTTAATTTATTGCTCCGACTGCTCGAGCGGACTCCAGTACAGTGCAGTCATTTCACAGAATTGTGTGTATAGCTAACTAGATTTTGCTTGTGTGTATAGATCGGCCATACAAAATTTAAAGCTAGAGAATTTAGATTAGGATTGAAGGGAACAATACATAATACCGTTTTCAATAAAAACGAGAGAATAACAAGATGTAACAATAGATATGGCCTAATTTTGTACTGTATTAGAATTGGAAATGCTATAAAACATGCAAGGGGATAGGAAATAAATTCCCCTCTTTTTTTTTCTTTCATTATTACCTGTCTTTTTTATTTTGTTATTTTGCCCTTGTAAATTTTTTTCACACACCATCAGATTCATATTAGTGATTTAAATTCAACCCAAGTTTTTAAAATTGACAAATGATGATTGTTTTGGAACGAAAATAGGATTTTATATTTTGGAAACTAAATACTCACTATTTGAAGTAAGATGAAAAGTGAAATTCAAAAATTTATGCTCCACTTAAAGTGAAAAGACAATTCAATAGTACCCTTTGTTTCTTCTTTATTTGCACAGTATGATTAATTTGTGCACTTGATTCCATGACAAACTTTGCGACTGACCTAGCTTGATAGACAGCTATGGATCTCAAATTCTTTATGTTGGGCCTTCAAACGCCTATTTTTCCAATATACTCGACAGTCCTATGGGATTTCATCTATATTATATTTTGCCTACATATATAAGAGCATGTTTGATTCATCTGAGCTTCACTTAATAAAAACTTTTAAATCGAACTTGAGTTGCTCTTATAAACCCCTATTTGAACTAATCTTTCTTTACTCATCTTATCAACCCTTAGATCAAATTATTTTTCCTAAAATGAGTTTATGTAAGGCCAACAAATGAAGACCTAAGTAGCATATTAGATGCTAATTGTAGCTCTTCAAATTCTTGGATGTAAATTTTGCTTTGAATCTTTGTAAGTTTCTATTTTTGTGATGATTATGAGGATGGATTAAAATTATCATGTCATTGTATTGTGTAGAAGGTAAAATATCATATGAGGAGAATTCATGTACTTCATTTGATAAAATTAGGCCAATTGTTATTTCTTTGCCCGAGGAACTTCAATCTATTGCCTCACAACAACTATATTAGTCAATCCCACGGCTCACGTACACTATAGAGTATTATGTTTTCATGGTTCTTATTGTACATAAAAGGTTATAATGCCTTTGGAGTTTGGACCTTTGGTTTTGGATGGTAAATACTCTTATATGTGGATAATTTCTAACAATTAATCAAGCTTGGATCTTAAATTAAAGTGAGATCCATATACTACCTCCGTTAATAGTTATGTACAAATTTGAAATTTTTTATATCTCACAAGTCATAAATAATACCCCAAAATTATAGATAACCATTAAAAGAGGTAGTATTTAATTTTTCATGCACTTCATCTTCTTAAAAAAAATGATTTAGATAAGCATAATGATTAATTATGCTATTAGTTAAACTTGTTACATAAAGTTGCTGTGGTGTAGTGGTTATCACGTCAGTCTTACACACTGAAGGTCCCCAGTTCGATCCTGGGCAGCAACATAAGTAATTTATTTTAATTATTATTATTATTATTATTATTTTGTTAATATGCTTTCCATTAACACGAATCATTTTAAGAGTTACATTAATAATACATGGAACTATGAAAGAACAATTATGGCAATTATTAGCCATAAAATCCGTTATCTAATTTGCCTAACAAAACGTTGGTGAAAATATATCAATTTGCATTTAGAAAAATCCTTTTCCAAACCGATATGTGACGATATTGTCCAATGCTGCTTGATAGCGTGGGCAAGGAGAACAAATGCCTTTTGGACCTTTGGATCTTGTTGTAAATAGGAAAGAAAAGAAAAAAAAAAAACCAATCAACTCAAATATTAGAATCCAACTAATCCGAATTTGATTCAAGTTACATAGTACGGAGTAATTATAAGAAAACTCCTCCCCATAACTCCAAAAGTGATGTTGCCTTCGACTCCCAAGTACCCCAACAGTTTGATTAAAATGATTCAGCTCGATAATCAGTAGATCTAAATACTTGTTGGTTACCAAAATATCCGATTTCGTCCTCTAAATCCCAAATCCCCCATCACATGGGTCAAAACCCACCCATCCAATATGGGTCGAGTCCATTAACTACCCATCTCACCAAACCCCCCTAATCCATTCACCCCACCTCCTATCAACCCCACCTTCACCCACCACCACACCACCATTCACCACCACCCCTTCTTTTCCCTCTTTCTCTCTCCTCCCTTTTCTCTCTCCTCCCACAATGTCCTCCTCTCCTCAACCCCAACCCCAATCTCCACCACGACACTCACCACCACAACAATCACCACCTCCCTCACCTCCCACCACCACCACAATCACAACCACCACCACATCAACCCCAACACCACAACCACAACCACAACCACCACCAATCATCCAAGCCCTCTCATACTCACCCCTCAAAAAACCCCAACCAATCCCATGGTCCCACGAAGAAACCCTCAACCTCATCAAAGCATACCAAGAAAAATGGTACTCCCTCAAACGCGGCCAATTAAAAGCCTCTCAATGGGAAGAAGTTGCCATCACTGTCGCCGCTCGTTGCGGCCTTGACGACCCCTCTAAGTCCGGCACTCAGTGCCGCCACAAGATCGAGAAGCTTCGAAAGCGTTACCGTGCCGAAAAACAGAAGATGGGTCCTAACTATAATTACCACAATCATCCCTGGATCTATTTTAGTCTCATGGATCAGCTCGAGCGCGGTCCTCTCCCCATCTCCGCTATTGCTCCCGCTGATGATTGTATCAATAATAATAACAATAATAGTACCAATCATTATGACGATGATGATGACGAGGATGAGGAAGGTAGGGGTGTTCGGTTTGCGAGTATGGAGAAGCTCAGGAGGGATAGGGTTGGCGCGATGGGGCGGGGTTTCGGAAACGGGTATCGAAGCGGGTGTATGAGGAGTTTGAGGGATTTGAAAAAGAGGAAGAGTTATTGGGAAGGGGATGATGATGAGGAAGAAGAGGTGGGGTTTGAAGATGGAGGGGAGGAGGTTGGTGGGGTGGAGGAGAGAGAAAATGGGAGGAATTTGATGGGTGAATTGGGTGCTCAAATGAGGGGATTTGCTGAGAATTTTATCAGAATTGAGAGGAAAAAACTTGATTTGATGAGAGATAATCAAAGATTGAGGATTGAAATGGAGAGTAAGAAGAGGGAGATGATTGTTGTTTATCAACATAAAACTATTGAATTGATTAACAAGGCTTTTACTGATGCTGCTGCTTCTGCTTCTTCCTCTGAAAAGAAGATGAAGATGATGAGTCCAGATTTGTGATGGAAAGTTTCAGTTTTTTTTAGTTGTGGCGTTACTAGTTTTAATTATACTTGTAACGGGATTATTAGTATCAAACCGAGCAAGTAATTTATTTTTCCTGTTGTTAATTTTGTGTTACAAATTTGCAATAAAGTTTAGGTTGATGATCTGCAATTTTATTTGATAAATCTGTGAAAGTAGAAATGGTACTTTGGTTTGGGTAATTGGGTGTAGTTTTGTAATATTGAGTAGGGTCAATCTTGTAATATACCAAGTACTGTACTTCATAGTGATATCAAAACTATGATTTACTTAAAATGTACTGTAAGAAGTTGAGAAGAACTCAGAATAACAAAAATGATGTTCTTCAAAAGAATCTTGTTTTACTTTGCATGTTCAAACACTTCCCAGTTATGTTCTGCAGTTCTGCTGCTTCTATGTACAGTACATTGTGACTAACTGTTCATTATGGATTAGTTTAATAGTACTTGTAAAAGTCAACGCTTCTAAATTACAGTAGTTTATTGGTTTTTGAAATATTTTTTTGATTGTTAATCTTTTCCTGCCAACAATTCAAAAATGAAAATGAAAATGAAAATAAAATTAAAAATTGTTGACTGATAGAAGTTAAAAGTCAACAAGTAAAAGGAGGAATCATGACTTAATTTGTCATTGCAGAAATTATTATGTTTAGCAGAGTCAATATTGGAAAAATTATTCATTTATCATTACATAATATGCAAATTAACTTTGACATAAGTTAATTCTTTCTACTGACTAATTCCTCCATTCTATAATCGTTGTCAGTACACTTGCAAATTTTATTTATTCTAAATCAAAGTAAGATAAAATACATTAGAATGCCCTCTTCATGAAGGGTACAATATACTTGCAAATTACCGCCATACCATTGCGAATTACTTCTGTTAAACATACATCACCACACCCTTACAAATTACTGCATACAATGAGCTTTTGAATCATGGTAAAAGTATAACTAGGATGTTTCAAACCAAAAAGTACAATTAGGTTGTTCTATCAAATTCTGGAAGCCATTAGTTAGGCAGTATAATTATGCCAGAAAATGACCCAAAATGTCATTAACTAGACACCAAAGTTACATCAAATAATGACAGAGATTCTTCTGCTTTACTAGCAACAGTTCTAGCAGAAAGCCAATACATTTAACTGGTTTTAGTAACAAATGTTGGCAACCTACTAAAGAATGACCAGCTCATCACAGCTTAATCAGGGGTCAAGAATTCATTTTATGACTTGGTTGAATTCCCCTCTGAAGATGTAGCTGAGTTTACTTACCACTTGCAGGGAAGACTAGATCAGCCTTACAATGTCAATGGTAAGAGAAGACAACGAGATGGTGCAGGAGCATGAAGAAGACCAACCTCATCCTGATGATTGCTGGAACTGGTATTAAACAACTTTAATATTGCTGGAACTGTAATTGCAGATAGTCAATGAAACCACTTCAATGTCATGACTTCAAGACAAACCAACGGTATGTAAAGCATACACTGAATCCTGATTTCTGGATGATTTCAATGCATCAGCATGTACAGAGTATGGGATCTGAAGCCTGAATATGCATCACAAAAGCAGAAAACAAAGGAAGCTATTGATACTGATATTGCTGCCACAACCTATGCCAAAGCTGCCTCTTTCTAACAAGGTCAAGAGGGGATCTTTTCCTGTCACATCATTATTATAGTATATGGTCAAGGAAGCTCCAAAAACTTTCCCATACTAAAACCCCAATAAGTAAAATGTAAAATAATAACCTTAGCTCCGTCAGTCCTCCCATAGTCCCATCTTCATGAATAGTGTTAAAACTGAAGTCAGAATTCACATAGAAACAGATCCTCTGATGGTCTTGAGATTGGCATGTTTAATGGTTCCGGACATCATACAAAAGCTGCTTCCACCAGCAGGCATATGCACAAGTCGATTGATGCTTTGTTCAACATTTCTTCCAGAACATAAAAAGCAATGCTAAAGTTTCAGCTGATGATTTATAAGAAAAGAATGCCAGACCTAGGAACTGCATATTCTGCATCTTTAAAACAAACAAGGCATTAACCATGTGACCAATGAACTGGAAATATGCCAGAGCAAAGCAACAAAAAAGAGTCACAAGACCCATGGTAAAGTAATGGGAGCCATGAAATTGAGAACATGAAGACACCTTAAGAGAGAAACTGACTCCAGACTGTTTCTGGAAAACTGAGGGAGTAGATATCAGATATTGCTTTCACTGCATATAGGCACCATCGGCATTTCAATAGAAGACTCCCATCTAGTTTACCAATGATCACCACAAGAACATTCGCCATCCTTGAAGTGATGGTAACGATTGACATCTCTTATAATTATCTCCCTTTGTGTCACTTTTGAGACAAATTTAATGAAGATATGACAATCCTCACATGCTCGAAGGTTCTTTGTGATATGAAGCCTTGTTCCAGGTTGAGTGCTGATAAGTCCAAAAGCAATTGCCAGCCTTTCACTGTGACTGCAAACCATACCGGTCTTCTCATCATCTTCAACATCATGGAATACAGTCCCAGTAGTTGGAGCATATCCAGCTTCCATTACCAATCCTGTCACCCTCTCCAATTCGGCATATATAGTGTCACACATGGGGTGTGTAGTGTCTCCAGAGAGGAAAGCATGAACTTCATTTTTCAATTCAATCCAACTACATGCTATGTTCTTTTTAACTCCTTTATCAATCATCAATCTTCTCACCCTTGCAACTCCATCCCATTGTCCAGACTGTGCATATATATTAGACAAAATCACATAATTCCCCGAATCATTAGGTTGAAGCTCAATGATCTTCTCCAATGCTAATTCCCCCAATTCAACATTTCCATGGATCTTACACGCATTGAGCAATGAACCCCAAACAGCAGAATCCGGTGTAACCTTCATTTCCATAATGAGATCATGAGCCTCCTTTAGTCGGCCAGTATGGCCAAGGAGATCAACCATGCATGTATAATGTTGCACCGTAGGATTGATATGATACTCTTCAATCATTTGGTTAAAATATCTCCAACCTTCATCCAGTAAACGACCATGGCGACAAGCAGAAAGGACACCAACAAAAGTAATATGATCAGGCACATAACCTTGTCTGATCATTTCCTCAAATAAGTCGATTGCATCATCGTAACAACCATGCATAGCATACCCAGAAACCATAGCATTCCAAGCAACAACCCTTTTCTCCTGAAGCCTCTCAAACACCCTCCTTGCCACTCTAACCGACCCACATTTTGCATACATATCTACAAGAGCAGTCTTAACCTTATCTTGAAACGCAAACCCTTGCCGCCAACTAAACCCATGAATCTCCCTCCCCTGAGGAAGAGCACCAATGTCAGCTGAAGCCGAGATAACTATCACCAAGGTAGCAACAGTAGGCCTCTGACTCGCAAACGCCATCTCACTGCACAAAGTAAGTGCATCTTCCGGGTGCCCATTTTGGGCATAAGCAGCAAGCATAGAGTTCCACAAAACAACATCCCTACTTACAATTTTATCAAAAACACCTCTAGCACTCTCCAAACAACCACATTTTGCATACATATCAATAAGTGCAGCACCCACAAACACATCATTCTCCCAACCAGTTCTGATAACATGTTCATGAATCTCCCTACCCTCTTTAACAGCCAAAAGCGCCGAGCACGCCTTTAGCACAAAAGGGAAAGTAAAGTTATCAGGATTAAGCCCATGATCAAGCAACTGATAATAAAGTGATATAGCAACTTGATAAGGTCCATCCCACGCATACCCACGAATCAAAACATTCCATAAAAACAAATTACTCTTAGGCATTTTATCAAACAGTTGGTGTGCATAAACCAAAGCATTGCAATTACAATAAAGATCAACAAGTTTTGTAGCTAAACCAACATTTAAAGCTAACCCAGATAGGCAAATTTGAGCATGAATCTGCTTACCAGGTTCAATCGCCCTTTGAGAAATACAAGATTTAAGAAGAGAGGCGTAATCTGCAGGGGACAAAGAACAACTGGGGTTGATAGAAAAATTAGACTTTGAAGATGGGTAATCAAAGTTTTTGCTGTTGTATCTATAATTAGTAGTTACTGGTGATGCAAAGGAGTGATAATGAGCATTTTTCAGAAGTAAAAATGGTGGAATGAAGAAGAAATGGGTGTTAATTTCATTGAAAAAACAGGGGAAAGAAGAACAACAGTAAGAGATTTTCCGCAAGTTTATTGCGGTATAAAGAAGCATTTTGATGCATTTGATTGAACACTAGTTTCCTACAATTGGGGTAATAAGAGGCCGCCCTCTCAAAGAGGTTAAAGCCCCATTCTTTACAGCTGCTCTGCTGTGCTTAATTTTTAAATAATAATTAATAATAACAACAATAATAATAATATTAAATAATAATAAAAATTAATATTGTATTGATGATAATAATTTATTATATTAAATAATTATAATAATTAATAATTATTAATATTAAAAATAATTAATAATAATTTTAATAATTAATAATTTTAATAATAATAATTAATAATTTTAATAATTAATAATAATAATTTTAATAATAATAATAATTATTATTATTAATAATAAATATTAATAATAATAATAATTTTAATAATTATTAATGATAATAATAATAAATAATAATAATAGCAACACCATTAATAATAATAACATTAATAATAGTATTAACAATAATGTTGAAATCTATTCTGCTCGACTCTGCTCTGCTCGGCTATCCTAAAATCTGCTCTGCTATGCTTTGCTAAAATTTAATCTGCTCTGCTGACCCCTACTTTGTTCTGCTCTGCGCTGCTTTGCCCAGAATCTCAAAAGAACAAGGCCTAAATTTGTAATTTTATAGGTAAAGTCGTTTCAAGGTTAAACCAGTAACGATTTAAGATAGGTGAAAAATACTTCAATTAGTTACAACAACTTTGCCATTTAAGAAACACTAGTTTTGTGTCCCGTGATGCACGAATTATTTATTGGATTTTAAAATAAAAATTATTATCTTATATATATATATATATATATATATATATATATATATATATATATATATATATATATATATATATATATATATAAGAACCCATTATATATAAGAACCATTTTCAGTCATTGGATCAATCAAGATCTAACGCACAACATTTACCCAGATCAAAATAATGGCACTATTGTAAATTAATGAACCTTTTATTGTATAATAGAAATTTTAGAAAAGTTTGTCAGCTCTTTCTCTCTCTAAAAACCGGTACAACTTTTTTCTCACTCTAAAGTTCTCTCCCCAAATTCATTCAAAGCTTTCAAAGAAAGATTCATCAAATTATTCATTCAAATTTGCTTGGAACTCACGAAGTTTGTCCGAATTCTTCATTAATTCAAGTGTTCGTCAATACGTTTGCGATTTTTGGGTATTTTTCTATTCGATTTTGTTTTTGGCGAGTTTCTATTCGATTTATATATATTTTGTTCGATTATTTATTAGTTCGATTGTTTGATTTTTTTGTTCTAATTTTGATTTTTTTTGTTCGGTTTTCTTTTGCGATTTTGATGCTTTTTTACTGCTATTTTTTTCTCAAATTTTCCCAGCCTTTTGCGATTTTTGTATGCTGTGATTTTGATGCGTTAATTTCTCAATTTTTTGCTCCAATTATGTTCGATTTTTTCTGTTTTTGTTTGATTTTTGTGATATTCATTTGAATAATGATGTGCCTTTACTAGTTTTTTATGAACTTTACCAAAAGATCTTAGCTGCTTCCAAACACCTTCTCTATGTGTAACATGAACATGCTGTTTTATACTCCATTTAAATGAATTGTGGAGCTTGTTTGATGAATGAGTTAGAGATGTGTAGTAAGCTTCATGATGCTGCTCCTTGCTGCTTGAAAGATAAGTCGTATGAGAAGGATATCGAGGACCTGATATGTGTATATCTTTGATTCTATTTTTGTTATAGCAGCAAGCTTATGTATCAAACTGCTTTAAATACATCAACATGTAGCTTATTTATTTGCAGCATTTTTACTTTAGTTTAGATATGTACTATGGGTTTGTTGGATGTGGCTTAATTATTAATATCCCCTTTTCATTGAAATAAAAAAAGAGTGAGAGATGCTCTTGTTTATGTGTTGATTGTTGAAGAGCATTTTATCTATTTATGCTTGTGAAAAGTTCAGAGCTAAATGAGCTTGGACGTGAATATTCAGCTCAGCTTGGTTATGTTACCGACGTATCGTAGTAGTCATGGATGATTGATAGATCATCCCTCCAATATGACCATGAGTAAGTGATGCGTATTTGAGTACTACTATATCGGTAGTTGTATGACTGGTAGATCATTCGGGTAATTTTAGTTGTTTTTAATGCTTAAAAGATCATTCGGGTAATTTTAGTTGTTTTTTATGCTTTAATCAGTTTACTTTCTATGTTCTAAAGTTTACTTACAAGCTCTAAAGTTTACTTACAAGTTCTAAAGTTTTTAGTGTATGTTTTAAATTTTTCCAACTATATTCTAATGTTTACCTATGCAATCTACACTAACCCCCTACCAGATAATAATGATGGCCTAGACAGCTTGTCATCCCTTCCAACTCTAATACTTACAAATGTTAAACATAGAGCACTCATGATAGATCAAAAGAGGGAAAGCCAAATGATGGCTCGAGTTTTAAGACCAAGGACAACTAATCTAGTTCATAAAACAAAAGTTTGGGTTTTGAATATTATCATGGGATCAAATCCACTATGTTCTAAAGTTATCCTTTTATGTTCTAAAGTTTAATCTCTATATTATAAAGGTTCTAAAGTTATCCTTTTATGTTCTAAAGGTTTTGTTTATGTTCTAAAGTTTACTCTCTATGTTATAAAGGTTCTAAAGTTACCCTTTTATGTTCTAAAGTTTGCATTTTAAAGTTTACTCTCTATGTTATAAAGGTTCTAAAGTTATCCTTTTATGTTCTAAAGTTTTCGTTTATGTTCTAAAGTTTACTCTCTATGTTATAAAGGTTCTAAAGTTATCCTTTTATGATCAGAACAAATTAGAATCCATTGTCCTAGTGAGATTTGAGAGCTGCAACCTAGTTTTATGCTTGCTAGTTCATACTTGTGTAAGTGTGGTATACTATATATCAGTTTGCCTTTATGACGTGATGGGATTTTGTATGTGATGGTTTCTGTGTTCATGTCTCTATGTCTTTTCCGCCAAGACTTACAAATTAGAATAATATTAATACTTCAAAGAAGAAAGATGATGATTTTGATATTGATAATTGCGAACTCCCTAAATGTGACCTTCCCTATTGACTAAGCTGATGCTATTGCTATTTGCTAATTTGCTATTGCTATTGATAAAGTGATAATGAGTTAATGACACATACAAAGCCAAATATTTAGATATGTTTTATTGTCATGAATCTCATGATTGTCTAAGCTTTTAATATAAACCTTGTCAATGTCTTTCACTGGCAAAAATTGAATCTCTTGTTGTCCAATCAACAATTGCTTACATTATTTTTGATTTGATACATTAGGTAAGCTCAAGGTTTATATTTATTTGAATATCTTATACATTAGCCTACTAGCTCAATGGGTAGAGCATTGTGCAAATGCACAAAAAATGTGGGTTCAAATCCCACGTAGGTTGATTTGTGTAATGTGGAGACAAGTGTATGTTTAACTTTAAAGAGTTTCGTTTTAACATAGTTTCGATAAGTATTTTTTGTTCGTATAACTTAGTCCTATATATTTTTTTTATGGTTCTTTTTAATTTTTTGACAGGAGAACATAACAGAATTTTATTAGCTCACAACAGGAGCATCAAAAAGAACAGCAGACATGAAAATCGCAGGGAGCTCCTGAATCCAGACTCTCGTACAATCAAACTCATTACTAGATTGGGCAAGCTTATGTGCCACCCTATTCCCTTCCCTCCCAACATGGCTGACAGAAAAAGAAGAACAAGAATTAGCAATGCACAAAATATCGTTCACATTCAGACCAAAGGGCGAAATTTCTCTGATGTTGTTCTGCAGGTGGGAGTACAGCTTCAGCAAATCAGTTTCAAGTTCAATATTCTACAAGCCTGCCTCAACAACAATTGTAAGACCATGTCTAACATAAGAGAATCAAGAGCATCACCACAAACTTGACAAATATCATCACTACATATACCCCGTTTAGCTAAATAGCTCCGAACAGGCACCCCATTGTGAAGAACGCGCCAACCAAAAATTTTAACTTTCGGTGGAATTATCGCATGACGCTGATAACCTATGTAGGAATCGAACCTACATCTCTATGCATTTGCATAGTGCTCTACCACTTGAGCTAATAGGTTTTAGCATGCCCAACGATTAAATAATGTACTGTAATTCAACCCTATGTTCTAAGCTTTTTTTCAATTTTCTAAAAAATGTTCAGAATATTTTCTAAAAAAAAAAAATTCCCTAATGTTCTAAATCTATGTTTTGAGAGTTTTCCTATGTTCTAAATTGCCTTTTTCTTCTTTAGTAATAATAATAAATTGTTATTTTTTGCTGATATTTTTCAGAATTTTCTAAATTTCCTTGACCTTGTTGTCTTTCATGTTTCTATCAATGATTTTTATGATTTATAAGTAGTAAAGTTAACTAAAAATTGCTAGATACAATAACCATGACTGAGAATATAAAATAGATTCGTATAATCATATACGAAGTATGTTCTAATTATTTTTTTTTTTTGGCTAATCCTATGTTCTAAATTTAGTCCATTTATGTTCTAAAGTTTTTTTTTCCTATGTTCTAAATTTAGTCTATTTATGTTCTAAAGTTTTTTTTTTTTTTTCTAAATTTTTTCTACCTATGTTCTAAATTCTTTTGTCTATGATCTAATTATTTTTCCTATGTTCTAAATTTCCTACTGCCTATGTTCTAAACTAGTGCTCTAAATTTTCAATGTTCTAAATTAATTTATTGTCTATGTTCTAAATGTTTTCCTGTATTTAAAACATGTGCTTTAAATTTTTTCCTATAATCTAAACCTGTACTCTAATTTTTTTTCTATGTTTTAAATTTTTTAAAGCCTGTGTTCTAAAATTTTGTTTTACCTATGTTCTAAACATGTGCTTTAAATTTTTTTCCTATGTTCAAAACATTTGCTCCTTCACCACTCTTTTACCTATGTTCTACCCTGCTGCTCAGCCACTTAACCTTCACCACTCCCTCTCTTATCCTACACCGCATCTCCAATCCACATCCCTCACTAGCAGTAAAGTTTTCTGCCTATGTTCTAAATCAGTAAAAGTAATCTCCTTATGTTCTAAATTAGTTTTCTAATGTTCTAAATTATTTACCCTATGTTCTAATTTTTTTCTTGTGTTCTAAAGTATCTTTCTATGTTCTAAACCTTTTCTTATGTTCTAAAATTTTTCTTGTGAAATTTTCTCTCATGCTCTAAACTATCTTTCTATGTTCTAAACCTTTTCTTATGTTCTAAATTTTTTTGCCTATGTTCTAAATTTTTCTCTCATATTCTAAATTATTTTACCTATGTTCGTTCTAAACCCTTTCTTATGTTCTAATTTTTTTTTGCCTATGTTCTAAAATTTTCTCTCATGTTCGAAACTATCTTTCTTATGTTCTAAACCTTTTTTTATGTTCTAAATTTTTTTGCCTATGTTCTAAAATTTTCTCTCATGTTCTAAATTAAACTATTTTTCCTATGTTCTAAACCTTTGCCTGTGTTCCTCCCTTCACATTTTACAATTTCTCAAACCAAAGGGGCCCCACCCAATACTCCACTAATTTTGACAGCAGCTACTTCTACTTTAAAATCGATAATTATCATACTAGAAAGCTACATTGGCATTGATATGGCCACATTGTATCAAGTTAAATTGCCCCCATCATGTATACAAAACCATCCTAACTTGCCAGGCATCTACAATTCATCTTGAGACAGTTAAGTTTGCAACATCATAAATTCATAACTCATAAGCATGGTATAAGACTATAAGTTCATCCACCTATTTTAAGCCTTTGAACTCATTAATAATGCCCAGCTAGCCAGCATAATCCTCCCACCCCTCCTTCCCTCTCTCTTTCTCCTCAGTCCCCAAGTTTTCCCTCAAAGATAATATATGTCAATCAATCAATCTAACGAAAGCACTAATTCATCCATCTAAAGGCCAACCAACCAATGATATCACTAACAATTAAGAACGCAATAAGAGGTATCACTAACTTAGAACATAATGAAAAAGAGTTTAGAACATTATGAGATAGAGTTTAGAACATCCTAAGCTAATTTACAATTCACAAAAGTCAATTAATTCATTTAGAAATTCCGAAATTACATAATTAGTTGCAAAACATAATAGACATACAATAAGTCATCAAAAAAAACTGAAAACATAGACTATTCAATAAAAGATTGAATACAGAGGTAGCAATATAATCGAAATACTACTAAAATGAAGCCAAAAAAACCAAAAAGAATCGCAGCAAAAAAAAAACAAACAAGAAATAATCAAGTAGTGCTGAAATTACCTAATATCGCTGAAATTCGAACACTAAAATTGCTAAAATTCGAACCCTAACTCCGCTGAAAATTCCAGCCCTAAAATCACTGAAATTTGAACACTAAAATCGCCGAAAATTAATGAAAATCAAATGAGAAAAATAAAAAATCGACTTGAAATCATGCTAAAATCAGAAAAATCACAAAAATCAAATCAGAATTTCGTGATTTTTGGAGAGAATTTGGGGGTTTTAGGAGAGAGAGTGAGGTAGTAAGTAGAAACTTTATAAAGTGTGGGTTATGGTTGAGGAGAGAGAAAATTTGGGGTTTATATATGGTGGTGGTCTGTTTTCATATTTACTATAATGCCATTACTAACATTCCTTTAATCTGGAGCGTCTATTACAATCTAATCCTACGGATTAGATTGGTTCTTATATATACTAGGTTCTTATATAAGGAGGGGTTCTTATCGGATCCCTCCCCTATATATATATATATTCTAATAAATTGACAAGTAACAATGTACAACTAAAAAGAACTGATGTCTAGAGCTGTGATAGATTTTTTTTTTTTTTTTCAATTTCTCTGAACATCTAGGGAAATTCTAAATCAAAGTTTTACTGAAAATAAAACTCTAAAATAACTTCTTCTTTTTTTTATCCTAAAAATCTATTATTCAAATTTTATTGAAAATAAAACTCTAAGATATTTTTTTTTTATCCTATTCTACAAAAAAGATATTCAAATAAATCCTATTTAGCATATTAGTTATTAATTTTCGCTTACGTGACACGACATTTGGCGAAAAATTGAAACGTCAAGTGTATCTATCTCGTGATCTGGCTAAAAGTTTAGCTTTATAGATGAGTTACAAAAAAACTCGGAATTTCTCATGTAATAAAAATTTTAGCTGGTGATGAAATAATAGAAATGGTAAGAGAAAAAAGAACAGAGATTACAAATTAGGGTTGAGTGAAATTAGATATTGAATTTATTTAAAATTGGATCAAACTAGTTTTTGAGATAATAATTGCTTTGATAAATGATTTGAATGAATCATTTGTACTCTAAAATATTGGTAGTGTTTTAACTATTTAATTTCAAAAAAGAAAAATATATTGGAACTTATAATTCAATTTTACAACTCAATTGAATTAAAAAATAGTTTGTTTGAAATATTATCATATTCTCTTATTAAAAAAAATCAAAGACAGTTGTCATACCGATGGCGGTGCATGCATTACGTAGATTTAATGCCATGACGAGCCTTGATTGCAGCTCCGTTGGCAGCCGAGGCAGCGATACTATTGAGGGTTGTCGTTCTTTGCACGAAAATACTTTATCCATGTTTTCATATATATTATAGGTAATCACGGCAAATGCATCTCCAGCACAGCCCATAAAGCCGCCAGCCCGCCATGCAAAAGGTAATGTTGTAACTCTTACCAATGAAAAAACTAATTAACTAATATCCATGCACCGGGAAAGTTAAATTCCATATTTTCTCTCTTTACTTTTATCCCGCTTTTTTTTTTTTCGCTTTATTTTGTAATCTTTAATTTTTGTAGCTTTTTATTTTATAAATAATGATAAAAAATCTACTTATATACCAGCATACAATTTAAAATATTACAGCTTAAATTGTTTTGTATCTTTCCTATTCATATCCAAATACTATTAAACCATCGTAAATTATTATAATTTGTATGTGTATTGTATTCCTTAATTAAGATGAAAGTTCTTAATAAACTATTTCGTATTATTCCCTCCATCCTTGGAAAATTGACAACATCAAACTTGGCAAACATCTATAACTAGAATTTTTTATATTCATATTTTATTATAAATATAATTAAATGTTACTCCCTCTATTCGACTATTTCCACAACGAGGTGACACACAAGCCGATATAAATTATTTTAGGGCTAATAATAGTGCCAAAATTTATGAAATACTTGTATAAAATGGAGTAATAAAGAATCTAAAAGTTGGCATTGGTATAATATAACTTTATGTTAGAAGTTTGCATTGATACAATATAATTTAAGAACAAAGGAAGTAATTTTTTTTATAGAATTATAAAGAAATGAAAGGTTTATATTTAAGGTATGGCTTCTTGTGTGTGTATATATATCATGATGGAATGTCCATGACCTATATTCATAGTTGTAAATAGAGCATGAAAGAAATGGTCGGAAGATTCTAGGAACTTTCACATCATTCTTGTATTCGTGATGTTCTAGAAAATTCACGAAGTATGTTTCTAGTTACTTCCTATGTTAATTGTTAATAAGAATTCTCTAATCATTTTAGTGGCTTTCATGATACAAGCTAGTACAAAATATAAAGAAATGACAAATGAGTAGCACTACTAATCATGCTACATGTATCTAAAAGAACCAATACTCCATCAAATTAATGGGCCTAAAATTTGGGCCATACCCAACAACTTACTCACAAGAAAATGTTGCTTTTTTTTTTTTTGACAAAGAGAACTTAAATTACAAAAAAAAACTAAAAAATAAAACAAAGTAAAACTCTACGCCTTGATGCACCTGCAAGAGAATGAGCTTCTCCAACCGAAGACCTAGAAACCTTACGAATATGACAAGAAGAAAAAGAAGAGATAACATCCCTAATTTCCTGAATTGTCCAGACCAGCGAAATATTCGAAGAAGCAGGCTCTTGAATCATCTTAGGAACCGACATACAATCTGTAAGGAGGCAGAGACTGACAACACACCGTTGCCGAGCATGTTTAAGTCCAAAAAGACACGCAACAATTCAGAATGAAGAGCAGAACTATCCATACAAGCTCGAGCTCCTCCCCCAATACAACGAGAAGAAGACGGATCCAAAAAACACCAACCCGTACCAGCATTATGATTTCCTCGATCCCAGGCCCCATCAAAACACATCAGAACGTCACATAAACCAGTAGCTTCACCCCTTAACACCTGCCAAGTAGAATAAGA